TGGACGAAAGCCCTCTTTCGGAACATAATCGCTTGGCACACGACCGACATAGAAGATCTCTCCGGAAGCGACACTGATGAGTACGGCGCCGACAATGTTGTCGCAGGTGAGGCCGTGTATCCTTGTAAGGTGGCCTATACCACCCTGTAGCCAGAGTCCAGCTCCAACACTTGGACGAGATCCTAGAGGTACAGTGAGGCCCTCCTTGAGAGTCTTACTGATGATATTGACTGTCTTGCATCCAGCCCCAGCGACTACAAGTGAAGTGAAGGCAACGTCTTGGTCCTCTACATCCCCAACCTTTTTGAGTACATGTACAGAGTCGAAAGCACTCATGTCGATTGCCACCACATTGGATTTGAGGCAATGTGCGCTATGTCCTCCACCAACAATAGTCAGACCAAGGCTATGCTCGAGTGCCCACTTGACGCATTTTTGCACCTTCTCAACAGTATCTGGCCTAACAATAGCGGCGGGGCGCTGCACAAGAGCTTGCTTGTTCTTGACCAGTTTTTCCTCTAGTATCGGACCTATACGCGTCTTCAACTCTTCGACTTTGTCTGCGTGTTGATTGAAAGACAACATGACTTCAGGTGCGGAGAACAGAAGGGTTTCGGGGTAGACGTCATCACGGCGGGCCAGATCACGACATAGCTTTCGCCAGTCTGCTAGAACAGCGTTGCCTTCCTCGGTGTCTTGCATGGTAAAGCCAGCGACGAAAGGTGCGAATATACCCAGTGCGTCGTCGTTATCTGCTACGCCGACGACTCCGGTGGGATAGGAAGCCGTGTGGTGGCAGGCTAAGCCGTCGATGTGAAAAATACCGTCACGACGGAAGACTGCGACGATTCCATTATCGAGGAGCATGTTCAACGCATGCTTGATGAAACGGTCCTGCGGCTTCATACCGTACATGCTGTGACAAAAGAGAACGATGTCGTACTTCTCGATATCGGCACCACCTGGCGTGTCGCCGTCCGGATCGAAAGGAGTATGGTAGATGACAGGATTACTCTCTAAGCAAGGAAACGGAGCTTTGGAGGTTGTATCCGTCTTCTCATGATCCCGCAACCAGTCTTCCCGCTTCGAAGCGTAGATGATAGGATCACTCTCCAAGCAAGGAAACGGAGCTCTTGAGGTTGTATCCGTCTTCTCGTGATCCTGTAACCAGTCTTCCAGCTTAAGAGCATACAAGACTTTCGGTTCAAAAGCGTTGTACTTCCCAATCCTCTCTCGCAGGCTTCTGTGTAGATGTCCGAGAACGCTCTCGGGACCCGGGCCGATCTCCAGAACTGAGATCAACTTGTCTGACTGGTGTAGAGGAGATAGGAGGTAGGATAGTTCTGGGATGATGAAGTCGCGGTAGATCGCCCAACCGGGTCCTTGCACGAAGGTTTCGAAACCCGCGGCGTATTGTTCGTCGGTCAAGGGCTCCCTTGGAGAGTTGACGGAGGTTTTGGTGTTAGCGACTCGCTTCAAGGCTCGCTCTAAGGTGTCGAGCGTGGCCATGATTGCTGATGGTGATGCACGAGTACACTGAAGATCTTTGCAATGCCAGTATCAAGACGAAATGAGGCTGAGTTGAATTGTGAATGCGACTCGACCAGCCGGGAAGCAGATAGGCTTTGGGTGGACTGCGTTGTTTGTGATCATAGTGGTCGCAGCGGCAATGTACGCGTCTGCCCTGCTTTGATGTACATATCCGCCCGTCGGAGGTAGACGACACCGGCAATGCACGTCTACTAAATGTAGAAAGATGCTTGACTACCTTGGCTACTGTAACGTGTATGGATTGGACGTATCGCTGTATGTTGAATCTGGTACCCGATAGGTCAAGGTGAACGTGTCTTTCGCAAAAAGTCTAACAGGTTGTGATCTATCCGAGTTTGCACTCTACGTACTACGTAAAACAATTAGCAAACACTTGAAGAGTACCAAGATCAACAAAACGCTGCGCTCAAGATCTCGAGATGTACAAACCCCATGACTGTGCAATTGGCCGTGTAGTATGCTTTGTGCTACGAACAAGGGGTCGTTCGTGAAATTGCATAGCTCGAATCCAAAGATTGCTGTTCGGTTTTAGCAGCGATGAAGACTGATAGCGAGAGCTCTCTTAGCCCTCCATCATAGGCAAAAATGTAGAGCCCTCATTCCTGGAGCATCATGTCAGTGACTGACATGAGGCAAGAATTGCTCCACAACCTTAAGCATACACTAACAGCATCGTGATCAGCATCTCTTAGAGACAAGGAGTCCAAAAAAAAGGGGGGCGGCTTCGAAGGTGTAATACACCAAAGGTTTTAGATTCCAAAGGATCTACTCCAAATCTTTTAGATCCAAAGGATCTACTCCAAAGCTTTGACCAAAGGGCCAATCCCAAAGAGGTAGGTGTTAAAGGGGGGGCATACCAAAGGTTCAACCCTTAAGCCCTCAACACCAAACCGGTAACACCAAATTTGACCACAAAAGATCAACTCCAAATCTTTGTACACCGAAGTGACAACTCCAAAGCGTCTGCAGACTGATTCATCGGAGGTTTGAACTCCGGACCTTCAGTGTACTAACAGGCTTTTGAGGGCCTTTGTTAGACTGACGTGATAACCAACTACACCAACGAACCGTTATTGATGAAGGACGGCAAAAATAGTTGCAAAATGTCAGCCACCGTTTTACCTCCTGGAGACGAGCTCAGCCCCTTCGTAGCAAGCCGTACATACGCTGGCGATACGATAGAGAAATTCCTGTGGTGCGGGGCAAGAAGCTGAACCAGTTTTCTTCCGTCGTGGGTCGAAGTGGTTCGCCCCACCAGAGGCTACCATGGTGCGATAGAATGGAGTATAGTCGTAATGGGGTCGCTTGACATACAATCGGGTATGCAAACAAGTGTGGCTAGTCCGAGTATGTTTGTGTTGTTCATCGCGAACCATCAATGAGTTGCCGACCGAACTTTGAGCGTTGGGTCTATGGGAACACTGCTGGACTCGCATTCGTAACTATACACTTGCTTCTGCTTCAAAGCTGAAGAGAGCTTAGTTGTTCGGAGCGAGTGCTGTCGAGACAGAAGTTCGCGTTTGTGGGGAAATCTGCTGCCGCACCAAGAATGCCATTGTTGCCTCCGACTTTTTTGCGCGACTTGACGCTAACAAGATCAATTACCAAGCTCAGCGACAGCTTGGGAGCGGGTAGCTGCCAGCTAGCAAACAGACAGGCGGGCGGTCTGCATCGCGCGACGCGGCTTGAAGCTACCGTCCGGGCGGAAGCTGTAACGTGGCTTGGTACAGCTGGGCGACCAACGACTTCCGCTGACCGCGCATCGAGCGAGCGTAGTCGTCATAATGTTGGCTGTCTCGCGCTCGTGATCGCGATAATAGATCGAAGAGGATATGGGGTACTCTGCGCGTGGTGTTGAGCATGTGTGTGGTTGTCGGGGCTGTAGCTGTTCTGGACGCGTCCACGCGTGCCCAGGAGATTGCGGAGCGGGATCAGCAACGCCGACAGTAACAAACCTCCGTGCCCCTACGTCTTCCTCATCGTTCACTCTTCACCATGAGTCCAGTCTTCATGCCGCTGAAGAAGCCAAGCTGCGCGTAAGATTACAGCCAAGAACAAATCGATCGACTCCAGCGCATCTAGGCTGTGGGCTGCAGCACAGTCCCGCTGGAGCAAGCACACGTCAGCTGCACGCGCGCACCGTTCCTCACGACAAGTACCATGACAAGCACCGTTCCGAGACCGACGCTGTGCTTCCTGCATGAGTCTGGAGACGATGCGAATCCAGCGACGTCCCCGCCGGCCAAGACATCGATTTGTCGCACCTCCGTAGGAGTTCCAGCCACGGGGTAGCGCACTAAGGCCGATCTGGAGACCACAGCCTAAAAGCAGACCACATCTCAAACCTCGCATCGCGTCTCTAAGGCTGCGACCCCAGCACTTGGCTCCGCTCAGGTATCTACAACTCCACTTGTTCAAGACGCCAAGTGTTGCGATCAAGGCTTGCCCCTTCCAAGCTCATCGCCGAGCCCTGTCAGTCTGGCCCCTTTGCCCCAGACGAACGCTGTGGAGGAGGTCTGCCTAAGGGTCGCATCTTGCTCGTGCGCGCCTGAAAATCCGGCGATCGATGCTCATTGAGGTAGACAACCCCTCGATTCGCCCCTTCGGCCACCTCCTGTATACCGCCGCTACTTAGCAAGTCAGCCCGAACGAGAAGCTATAGGCTTGGTGCTCTAAGCATTACCCAGTCTCCTTCTACCACTGTCATGGCTTTAGATTTGGGCTTGGCCAGACTTCAAGCAGTCGAAAGGAACTGTGTGGTACGCGTCAGTGTTCGGAAGATCAGTACTCCAAGACCCATTATTGGGCCCCAGTGTGACAAGTGCATCGTTCACTCAACATGCAGTTGACCTTATGTGCCTCAGGCAGATCGCTCTCTCCACGTGCACTCGAAGAGGAACTCATCCTTGACCACGTTGAGGCCTGGACTAATCACACGGCTCAGGATCGTGGTCACTGACCCACTTGCAGTACCAGAACCATGCATTAGTCCCGGTAACTAAGGACGCTCCCCAGGCTTATCCGACCTTGGCTCCGCATCACAAAAGTTTTGACCCAACATCAAACAGCGGGAGAAGCTTGGCGTGGCCATCGAAGGCAAAGCTCTGCCATGGTATGCTTGCCGCTACTTGGCGTAGCCTCAAGAAAGTTTCATGCCTTGACAGTTATGGTTAATTCATCTTGGCAGGTAACGACGGTGGGCCTGCGATACCACGACTATGGAGACTATGGAGACTCTGTGGTTTGCGTATAAGAAGACAGTAAACCCACTTCTTCTATTCTCCAGTCCGGTCACTCACTTCATTTCACTACCAACTAGTATTCACTTCTGTCGCCGGGCGACTTCTATCACTTAGTACATTTTTTGATCATCTAATCGTTCATCGAACCTCAATCATCCACCACTACCTTACCACCTAATCGAAAGATCCAACCACCCAACCGACAACATGCTTCCTCAACACGTTCTCTTCGCGCTCGTCGCCACCGTCGCTGCCGTCCCCCTTAACATCAACTTGGGTGCCTACTCGCCTGCCCTGGTAGTCGGTGATGGAGAGATCTCGCTAGGATCCACAGAATCAGCTTCAGAGTTGATGTCTACGCTCGCTTCGGGAGCCGCAGCCAACGCCGGTGGGGAGGGCGCAGCACAAGGTCAGCAAGAACAACCGGCCGCCGAACAGCCCGCAGCTGAAGGCGAGCAAGCTCAAGAACAACCAGCTGAAGGAGAAGCAGCTAAACGATCCAACCTTCGCCGCGCCGTCAACGACATCATCAGCAAGCGTGCTCCCGTTGAGCCCAAGATGGCCGCCGTCGAGGAGGCCATGCAATGGATCAAGCGTGACCTCGCTGGCTTCAACGCTGCTCTCGGCTACGCCAAGGAGGCCCAGAAGGACATGCCCAAGGTCGAGATGGGCACTGAGAACGCCGGTGTCGGTCTTCTCGTCAACCCCGGTGTCAACGTTCCCAAGGACTCTGCCGCCGCTGGCGCCCCTGCTGAGAAGCGCAAGCGCGACGAGGTCGTCGAGGAGGAGGACGCACCCAAGATGACTTTGGTCGCCATCACCGAAGTTTGAGCACTATACCCGACTTTGCATTTCAGCTAGCATATTCTCTCTCCAAAAGACATCACGCGCCATGGGAGGAGGAGTTATACACGACAGTCATGTCACAAGCTCGATCTTGTATGTTCCGAGCGCAAGTTTTCTTTTCAGCAAGCATCAGCAGGATCACGCGTACTGCGGACCGGAAGATGAGGAGTTTTGGATAACGGTATTGATGGATGGATGGACGAACAAGGCAATGGAAGATGAGATAAAACGTCGCAAGATTTCAATAAAGTACTATTTGATCAGACCTCAGCTCCAACATGCCTTCTCACCAACACAACAGCATCCTTTTTCCTACAATTCGCGAGGTGAGTCCACTGTTGTCTCACTTCCAACTCAGTTGCTCGGATCCCGCCGCTGCACGACTCATTTCACCAACACCCATTGACATTGCATCCGCATTTCCCGCCTTGGGCGTTTTACTCTCGTCGCCATAAGAAATCCACAAAGGATACCGACGTCTCTAGTCTCAAGTCGCATTAAAGTCTCAGTAACGTAACTTACAGCTCTTGGCAACGCCGCGGGTTCAGGGTCCAGGGTCCCGGGTGCGGAGCGTGAAACACGGCCCTGTCGTGTGGTCTGTGCGGTCGGAATGGCCTGGCGAGGCTGCCGGCGGGCGGCTGGGGGCAAACTTCGCTTTCTCCAGTGCCGAACAATTCGATTGTGTTTTTGAGTCTGTGGACTGTGAAGATTGGACACTTTGACTGTGGAATTTGCTGGCTGACCTTCGCGGTCTTACCGAGGTAGTTGGCTTTGAATCGTGTGGAAGTCGCAACTCAAACAGTTTGGCATTGACATTCGGAGTTGTTCGCCGAGGCAATGAGAAGAGCGGAATCAGTAATCAGATGTGTGCGATGCATGGCACGGAATGCCTTGGTCTTGGTTGCGTTTCCGCTTCTTCGATGTTCGCTCTTTAGGACTCACGAAGCAGACTAGTCGAAGGCAATTCATTGAATATACTCGCGTTGTGAAAAACGACATGCCAGCACGTACGTGCCTATCGCTTCCAAAATCGCCAACTCTTCGCTTTCTCCCTCTTCTCTGCACTACCAATAACATTGCCAACAACCTTCTGGTCCATCTGATCCAACTTGTAGTTCTTGAGACAAAACGTCAACGGCACGATAGGTGCTGCGCAGCAAAGAGCTCCAATGAGTAGGTACCGCATCGTCTCTTGGTAGGCCCGGTTGATAGCAATACGGACGGGGGATCCAGCTGGGTAGGTAGCATAGTCTGCTGCGACTAAGAGACTGCCGTAGATAGTCGAATAATCCGCCACGTTCTCCGCGGGCAGGTACTGCTGCAGTTTGGCGGGGATGTAGGTCGACCAGATAGCGCCTGAGATTGCTGATCCTACTGCGCCTCCGACTTCGAGGATAGTTAGCCAGACTGTTGTTGCGGCCGCGACCTGTTGATGGGAGGCTGAGGCCTGGACAGCGAGTTGGACAGGGACGTTCAAGAAGCCTCCGCCTATTCCGATTGCGATTTGCGTGCCGACGAGGGTGCCAGTTGAAGCGTCTTCGGTCCGGTATGCCAACATAAGGCCCATGCCCATCAGGTAGATGGCTGCGCCCAAGGTTGTGTAGTACTTGTAGTGCGCTGTGTACTTTATGAGAAGTGACACTACGATTGATGAGACGGTTGAAGCGAAAGTGAAGGTTCGTGTGATGTATCCGGCTGTGGAAGGAGATTGGCCCTGTACAATCTGGAGGTAAGAGCTAAAGTATGGGAAGACAGACATGTAAAATGCCACTGTTTCATTCGTTAGCATTAAGCCATAGTGTGGTGTGCATGGTGCTTACTGAAGTAGAAAAATGCGATCAAGACACCAGCAATGATCGTCCTCTCTTTGAAGAGGTTTGGTGGAAAGAATGCCTTTGGTGCCAACTTCTTGCTCGTCTCCCACATTGGGAACGCAAGAAGCAGTACGCCGCCAATGACTAGCATGGCGATCATACTTCCATTACTCCACCCACCACTTGCGCCTGGAGCCAGTGTAAGTGGCAACAAGATGAGTGCTATGGCTGCCGCGAACAACAACAGGCCAGATCCATCTATGTCGATCCAGATGTTCTTCAGGACCTGGAGTGTATTGTGCCCGTGGAATGGACTGGGGACATCAAAACCCAAGCTCTTTGCACGTCGCTGGTTCATAAAAAGACTAACAGCCAGTGGGATGAAGCAAACCGGAAGGATGATAGCCCAGATACCGTATCCCCATCTCCAGGTAGTGTTGTTCAGGATCGCTTCTCCAACTTCTGCTCCAGCAAATGTAGTCCAAAGAAAGGGAACGTCGAACAAGGTGGAGAAAAGAGCGCGATTGAGCAGATCCGTAGTATCGGCGACGAAGATCTGTTGCAAAACTCCCAGACCGTTGAAACCGGCGGCCCAGAAGATTTGGGCTCCTGCGAAAGTTTGCACATTATTGGATCCAGCTTGCATACAATACCCGATTGTGTAGAGGAATATGGTAATGGTAAATGATTCGAGACGTCCAAAGACATCGGCAATCTTTCCCATTGGCGGTTTGATGACCGCTGGACGTAGTTAGTCGCTGCGCTGAGTATGGCGGAACGAGGAACGTACCGGCTACGACACCCTGTACTACATAGATTGTGGAGACGAGTGAATGCAGAGCAAAGGCACTCGTGGCATATGGCGTCAAGAGACTAGTCACCTGGATCTCGAGAGATGTAACGTTGGCAATAAGTAGAAGTCTGGACTGGGGTTAGTCCAGAGAAACCTTTCTAATTGAAAGCGATCCTGATGACGTACGTGACGTAGGCGATGATGAGCGAAGTCTTGGTCCACGCCTTGCTCACAGCTTCAATGCGCTTCACACCAGCCTGAGCCGAGTGCTCGCTCGAAGTATCATCGCTTGGCGACCGCTCGCGGTTGTAGTCGATATCCTTGCCGAAGTTCCCGCGATCAGTCTCGTTGTGGACAACATCGGTCGGGCTTGTCGCCTCTCCAGGTCTCAATGAATGGCGCATGATCGCGTCCAATTCTGCAGGAGGATGTCGAAGTCGCAGTATACGAGATGCATCCAAGATAACGGCACGGCGGAGGGAACTACTTTATCTGATCGGCCCTGCGTCGCAACATTGCTGATGCGCGCAGGCGGCTGGGCTGCCGTGTCGTGCTATTGGCACACTTATTCCTCGCCAAGTGCAGTGGTGCCATGGCGAGAGGCACACACCCACGCGACAGTACCACGAGGAAGTCCGCGGGTCTGTGCAATGACACCATGGCTTGCCCGAGGACCACATGCTTGGGTTTAATAGCCTGCTACTAGCGACAAGGCAGATCTAATCTGATCCGTTCCAGGCGTTGGATGCTTCTTGGCGTGGAACTGTGGTGTCTTGGAGTTCCCGTGTTACGTCAATGCTGAACCGCGAACAAATTTTCAGCTTGGGGTGGCCTGAATAAGTCGACGCTGGCGGTCGGTCACGCCGATGCGCTCACCTCATAAGCTTTTCGGCACCGCTACGTCGTTTACACTGCAGCTGTCAGCGCCAAATCGGGTTCCGTCGCGAACTCAGCGCGGTGCAACGCCGCACGAGGCTGACTGGATACGAATCATGTCTCTTTCCGATGACACCTTCCTTTGCGGATGCTGCCAGCACAGAGGTGAGAATTGTGTAAGTCAAAATGAAGTTGCACTGACGTTCGCGGGATGGATGTTGAGGAGGCTGGGATGAAGCCTGCTGCAAATCCCGACGCGTGCACGTGGCGCGACTTACAGAGAGCGTCTAGCTCTACGAGAACGATCTCAACGGGTGCATGCCGCGGCGCAAAACTCTTCACATCAGCAGACGATAGATAAAATTACGAGCATTGCAGTATGAGCGGGAGTTACCAACAATAACGGATTGAACTGCTTCACCCAGACCAACCAAGCGACCACCGCATCTGCAACACGCTCACTACGGCTCGACCTCGGATTTCTCCCTCAACCCCTCTTCACTCCCGTCCCATATAGCCTCACTCCCGCGAATCGCCTCGCTATCCTCTTCGTGCCTCACACTAGCATTGTCATCAGCCGTCCCTCCGTTAGTCTCTTTCCTGAGCGCCAACTCCGGGTTTGCGGACTCGAGCTTAACCCTCATATCTCCGCTCATCTCTTCCAGGCTGGGAACGACCCATTTTGCGCTTTCCCATGGCTTGACGCCCATCAGGTACATCGTATCGATTTCCTCGAGTGTGCGCCCTTTGCCTTCGATGACGAAGAAGTATACGATAAGACCACCTAGGATGTTTGTCCCGGCGAAGACGTAGCCATAGCGGAAATCTATGGCACCAGTGATGAAGGGCGTGAAGAATGCGAGAAGGAAGTTCCACAGCCAGTTTGATGCCGTCGATAGAGCCATGGCTTTGGCGCGATAGCGGCTGGGGTATAACTCTCCGCAGATTGTCCAGCTAGAAGATGTCAGTTTGACGTAGCATTCTGGGAATCGGCGTGAAACTCACATCATCGGACCCCACGTTGTCGCAAACCCGAAGATGAAGAAACAAGCAAAGCATATCATCGCTGTGGCTGCGCTTTCGGTATTTTCCGGGTTGTCGCGATCAAGGGCGAAGTGACCGACAGAAGCGAAGATGAGGAAGCAAATGAACATCCAGCATGAGCCGGCAATGAGCGATTTGCGACGACCGTAGTGCTCGACGATATAAAGGCCGTAGAAGGTGACGCCGAAGTTAATGCCGTTCTGAAAGAGGTCAGCGCCATTATGGATGGCCTTGCGGAATGAGATTGCATACCAAGATCATCTGCGTAACGAACGAGTTCTTGATACCAGTACCGGCAAAGACTACGGTACCGTAGTAGAAGCTTTGGGATGTCAGAATGTTCTCACTGGGGGCGATTAGTTGCTTACAAGTAGTTGGCGCCTGTCAACTGCTGAAACATCTGCAAGCCCATGCCAATTGCCAACCTGTATGCCATCTTCGGCGCCATCCACATACCC